AAAAGTATGGTCACTATTCGAGTGATTGTCTAGAAAAATGAAAGAATCAAGAAAGTGATGCAAAACTTGCAAAACATGAAGAAGAAGAGATGATGCTGATGGTCAGAATAAAATATGAAGATAGATTTAAGGATCAATGGTACTTGGATTCAGGATGTTCATCACATATGTCTGGAAGGAAAGACCGGTTTGTTAACATAAAGCCCTCAACGAAAAATATGGTAAAATTTGCAAATGACAATACCCTAGAAGCTGAAGGTATTGGTGATGTTATGATTATGAGGAAAGATTGCAAGAGGTCAGTAATTTCCAATGTATTGTACATACCAGACATGAAGAGCAATTTTCTCAGTATAGGGAAGTTGGTCGAAAAGAATTATAAAGTGTCAATCGAAGATAAGATGATGAGAGTCGTTGATATAAATGGGAGATTAATCTTGAAGGCTCCTATGTCTCAGAATCGAACCTTCAAGATTGAAATAAAGGTGATGGAGCACAAATGTCTTTCGACTGCAGCTAGCAAAGATGAATGGATATGGCACTATAGACTAGGTCATCTCAACTTTAGAGACATCAGAGATTTGAAGAGAAGAAATATGGTTTCAGGATTGCCAGAAATCGACATTCCAAACGAGGTATGTGAGGAATGTGTGCAGGCGAAGCAACACAAGAATAGCTTCAGCAAGGATGCAGAAAGCAGGTCGAAGACTAGTCTTGAAGTCATATATTCTGATGTATGTGGACCAATCTAAGTGGATTTGATGGGAGGTAACAAATACTTTGTTACATTCATAGATGATTTCAGTCGAAAGCTTTGGACTTATCTTATCAAGAAAAAGGTGAAGTGATCGAAGTATTTGCCAAATTTAAGTCTATGGTCGAAAGATAAAGTGGTCGAAAGCTCAAAGTTTTGAGAATCGATGGTGGTGGTGAATATGTGTCGAAAGACTTTGACAGGCTATGTGAAAAGGAAGGGATTGTACATAAGGTGGTGCCACCCTATACTCCACAAAAAAATGAAATTGCAAAAAGGAAGAATCGAACCATCATGAATATGGTGAGAAGCATCTTGAAAGGCAAGAATTTACCTAAAGAGTTTTGGGGTGGAGCTGTTTCGACTGCAACATACATTTTGAACAAATGTCCTACAAAGAAGCTATAAGGAATTACTCCAGAAGAATGTTGGTCTGGTGTGAAGCCTAGCTTGAGTCATCTGAAGGTATTTGGATCTATTGCACATAGACATGTGCCAGATCAGTTGAGAAGAAAACTTGATGACAAGTCAAGTTAAATGATTTTAGTTGGATATCATTCGATAGGAGGCTACAAATTGTTCGATCCAGTGAAAAAGCAGATTGTGATCAACAGGAACGTGATCATAGATGAGTTTAAAGAATGAGATTGGACTGAAAATGTCAAGAAAGATTCAGTGGAAATCCTATTCGAAGAACCAGAAACTCAAGTCGAAAGAGAAGTTCGACAAGAGGAACCAGCAGATATACCAAGTACAAGCAGACCTCAAAGAACAAGATGCATGCCTGCAAGATTGTGAGATTGTGTGATTACATCAGATGATGTGATAGATGATGAAGGTGAGCTGGTACATTATGCTTTCTATGCAGATGTCGAACCTGTTAATGCAGTTGGAGCATTAAAGGATTCGAAGTAGGTAAAAGAAATGAATGAAGAAGTGAAGTCTATCGAAGACAACAACACTTGGTCACTTGTCAAATTGCCTCAACGCAAGAAGACAATTGATGTCAGTATACAAAGTGAAAACGAATTTGAAAGGGGAAGTAACTCGACACAAAGCAAGGCTTGTAGCGAAAAGATTTCTACAGAAAGAAGGAATAGACTTCGATGAAGTTTTTACACCTGTTGCTAGGATAAAAAAAATTAGGTTGGTGTTGGTCTAGCAGAAATAAACAGTTGGCACATATGTCAGATGGACGTGAAGTGTGCATTCCTAAATGGTTCCTTAGACGAAGAAGTCTATGTTAAACAACCAGTTGGGTTTATGAAACATGACGAAGAAAGAAAGGTGTACAGGCTGTATAAAGCCTGTATGGATTGAAACAAGCTCCAAGGATTTGGAATAAGAAAGTTGATAGTTTCCTAAGGGAGAAGGAATTTGTGAAGTGCACAACTGAACATGGAGTATATGTAAGAAGAAGTAAGAGTAAATTGCTTATACTATGTCTCTATGTAGATGATTTTTTGATAACAGGTAGCTGTAAAAGTGAGATTGAAGACTTCAAAAGTGATCTCAGCAAGGAATTTGAAATGTCTGATTTAGGTGAGATTTCATATTTCCTTGGTATCAAATTCTACAAGAGCAGTAGAGTTTTGATGATGCATCAAAGAAGATATGCAGGAGAAATTCTCAAGAGGTTTAAGATGGAAGAATACAACTCAACTTCGACACCTGCAGAACCAAGACTGCAACTGTCGAAAGATGCAGATGAAGATGATGTTGATCCAACCCAATACAGAAGACTTATTGGATCATTGAGATACCTTTGTCATACAGAAAGAAGGCTTGTAGCGAAAAGATTTCTACAGAAAGAAGGAATAGACTTCGATGAAGTTTTTACACCTGTTGCTAGGATAAAAAAAATTAGGTTGGTGTTGGTCTAGCAGAAATAAACAGTTGGCACATATGTCAGATGGACGTGAAGTGTGCATTCCTAAATGGATCCTTAGACGAAGAAGTCTATGTTAAACAACCAGTTGGGTTTATGAAACATGACGAAGAAAGAAAGGTGTACAGGCTGTATAAAGCCTGTATGGATTGAAACAAGCTCCAAGGATTTGGAATAAGAAAGTTGATAGTTTCCTAAGGGAGAAGGAATTTGTGAAGTGCACAACTGAACATGGAGTATATGTAAGAAGAAGTAAGAGTAAATTGCTTATACTATGTCTCTATGTAGATGATTTTTTGATAACAGGTAGCTGTAAAAGTGAGATTGAAGACTTCAAAAGTGATCTCAGCAAGGAATTTGAAATGTCTGATTTAGGTGAGATTTCATATTTCCTTGGTATCAAATTCTACAAGAGCAGTAGAGTTTTGATGATGCATCAAAGAAGATATGCAGGAGAAATTCTCAAGAGGTTTAAGATGGAAGAATACAACTCAACTTCGACACCTGCAGAACCAAGACTGCAACTGTCGAAAGATGCAGATGAAGATGATGTTGATCCAACCCAATACAGAAGACTTATTGGATCATTGAGATACCTTTGTCATACAAGGCCTGCCTTAACATATAGTGTAGGTACGGTAAGTAGATTCATGCAGAAGCCAAAGGTATCACATCTAGCAGCAGTGAAGAGGATACTAAGGTATCTCAAAGGAACTTTCGATTATGGCATTTTGTTTCCTGCAGCTGATAAAGGAAAAGAATGCAAGTTAGTGGGATACACTGTTTCGAGTTGATGTAGTGATGCTGAAGATCGAAAGTCAACAGCAGAATATGTGTTTATGCTAGGTGGTGCACCAGTTGCTTGAAATTCAAGAAAGGAACCAGTAGTGGCATTATCATCATGCGAAGCAGAATACATAGCTGCTTCTCTTTGTGCATATCAAGCAACTTGGATGGTGAACTTGGTCGAAGAGATAACAGGGAAAGATCATGGAGCAATTACCATGAAGATCGACAGCATGTCAGCTATCAATCTGGCGAAGAACCCAATAGCACATGGTCGAAGTAAGCACATCGAAATGAGATTCCATTATCTTCGAAAGCAGGTAGCAGATGGGAAGATGAATTTGAAACACTGCAGAACTGAGAATCAGATTGCAGACATCATGACGTAGGGAGTGCAAGTTGAAGTATTCAGAAGGCTAAGAGTCATGATGAATATAAATAGTTTAGACATAATGAATTAGGTAGTGTGTTAAATTGTAATTCATAGTGTCGAAAAGATTACATTTGTTTTAGATTTAAATAGATTTGATTTAAGTCTAGAATAGATTTGATTTGATTTAGTAACAAAATAGATATTTTTGACTTTGGGTTTATGGTGCAAGCTCAGTTATAAATAGAGGAAGTAATCCCTATTTTTGTAAGCAAGTCAAGTAAGTTATTCACAGTATTTTGCAGTTGTAAAATGAATAAGAAAGTTTTCACAGTTTGTGAGCAGAGAGAAATTCTACAGAAATTATTTATCTTATCTTCTTTCTTTGTTTGTCTCATAATTAAATTGTAATTATAGTAGAAATTCATCATAGACTTTGGTGAATTTCCAACATCATCATTGTCTAATATAATCAAACCAAGATGATTATGAACCAAACAAGTAGACCAATGTTAGGTTCCATGTTCAGCTCATTTGATTATTTATATTCATGGACCTGATTAAAAAATTGAAGCGAACTACTCAAACTGTTTCGGTTCATTACTAGTTGCTACTATTTGGATTATCAAAATATCAAACTGACTAATAAGGCATTTAGTGACCAAACTGATTAACAAAAGATACATTTTGAGAATCAAACTGTGACCAACAAAACACACATTCAAGAATGATTTTGTAACTTCGATACATTATAGTGATACCACCGACATATTCGACATATTCCGAGACTCGAATAACTGTTTAGTCATTTTGTATTTATATATCTCAAAGGATAAACAATTACCAAATAAAACTTATCAGAGTTTTGTCACGAGGAGTATATACAAAAACATTATCTTAAAATGCATGGTAGCACAAATATCCGCGACAGCTTCGCAGAACTTGTTCTTGTAATGCATTCTAGCCCCCTAAAATTCTTGCTACAGCCAAATCGCTTCTGCACAAGAAACACAAGGAGGCGTCAAATATAGAATTATTTGTGATCCTTACCCAACTGTTTGGTTCAACTTTTGAAGGAGACCACTGATTCTAGGTGCGCAAAATTGATTTTGACATGACCTTATTTCTTTGAGAAAAAAAATCAATATCAACAATATTTTGCTTCAACTTTCTGGTCACGAGATTAAAGTAGCATCTTACCTCTAATTTTTACCAAGTCCTTGCATGACAGAACATTGATTCCCTATACGAACTTCACGTCTCAGTTGAGTTAAGCGTAGTCTTTTTACAGGTAGATTTTCGTTTTGTGCCTTCCAATTTGTTTCTGATATACATTAAGTTGTCAGATGGAGATGTATTTGATACTGATAAATGAATGAATAATTTGTATATTTATCTTACCTGGTACACGATTCTTTGATTTTTGTTGCTTATACTTCAACGCCCTTAGCTCTTTGATACGCTCTGCTCTATGCTGGCGCGAAATAACACGGTGATATTCCTTGAGTTGCACATGATTCATGTACAGCATCGTCCCAAAATTTGGATCGTATAACTGAAATGAGTAATTTGGTAATCCGGTGAACAAAAGTACATTGTTTTGCACCGGAAGCCTGTTTGGAACACATTGAAGAGATTTGTATATGAGCTCTGACGATTCATTGGAACCATGATGTCCTTGAAGTTTATTTATGCGAAAATTTGCTTCTAAATTTTCAGTATATCCAGAAGTTTGAGGTAGCTCTTGTCGACAACGGATTAGATCTTTATGTTTTGGCAAAATTGCACCATCTTGCAATCTTGTACCGGCAGAATTTTTTACACACTCCGTCCTTAACTTTTGCCTGGGTTTTTTAGTCTTGAATGATCTTAATCGCTTCGCATCACGTTGACATTCCTTGTGATTTTCACTATCCTGCATCACTGCAGAAAAATGATTGAACGTTTACGTATAGAATGTAGTCTGCTAAATATTGTTGATGTTAAATCGCCTAGAATATGTCAATCTTACACTTACTAGCTAGACCATTAGTAGAATTAGAATCATATAAGTGTTGATGTACAAGTGTTCGATAATGCTAAAACAGTAAATGTTATTCACCTCTATATCTGTTGGAATGTTGACTTATGCACATGTGTTCCTCTGTTCCTTCTTTCACCAATGCGTTGTTTTTGGAACGAGCTTGGTGTTTCATCTGACTTAGTCGTAGTATCTTTCCTTGTTGCTGCTCGTTTCTCAGTCCAGTGATCATTTGTGGTGATGACAAATCATTCTTGCTTTTACATCTAGCTTGATGCTTTATTTTGCTCAGACGGATTGTTTTTCTTTGTAAGTGTTTGCATTGGTTATCCTCATCTGCATCTTGACCGGATATAAGATATTTACATCTAGCTTGCTTCCGTATTTGAGTTAATCGGGTTCCTGACGACAATCTATCAAGTAGATCTTGAGAGCACGCCTGATCTATAAAAAAGAATAGCAGTTATAGTAATCAAATTCTCCTCACATTGAGATTCTGAAGTACATAGAATGAATGTGCAAACTAAATAAAGATAGTATCATCGGTGTCATTCTCATATCGTAGAAAATAGCAATTTGTTCAAATTTTGCTGCGCTACATAGCTATAGTCATTATAGCCTATAGCCGCTATTTGACAACACTTTATTCCGAATAGTGTATCGCAGAACAACCGCTATTTTTATTCAAATTCCGTAATACTATAGCTGCTATTTGACAACACTGGTTACACCGCTAGCATATTCTTGAAACATAAGATCAACTAGTTTGCTTGATAAACCTTAATTGAGGAAAAGGACACAACAATAATCAATAATATGAAGTAGATCACAAACCTTGATTTTGGTTGTCTGTATGTGTGTTAGGCACACTATCTTCAGACTGTGTAGCTAGTATCTCAGCAGATTGGGCTAGAATCAACAAGTGATCAACGGATCCCTCAAAAGTCTTTGCCCGAGGTACCAATTCTTCATGTTTATCATTTCCCATGCTCTGGTTATCTACATGCTTCTCGCGATACTGGCTATAGTGATTTTCTATTAACTCGCACTGCAAATCTGTCTCTTCCTCCAGCTCTTGAGCAGTTACATTTAGATCAAAGTTGTTATAAAAATTCTTACATCTCTTTTCTTGTTGACATTGCTTAAGCTGCTCACTTTTCGTAATTGTCATTTTCCAACAATTCGAGTGATAGCAAGACGCAAAGAAACAAGCATCGTACTTGTTACAACATTGAGTGATTATTGTTTCTACACCAAACAAAAACGCAAATTCAAAGAGAAGTTAATCTTGAGAGTGTAACGATAAATGAATGGTCATATTAGTTTACCGATGGTTGTGAAACCCGAGGATCTAAAATAAACACAAGGAACATCAGCAAACAACGATAACAAGATTCAAATATGCCATTAGCATCCAATTAGTTAAACCAAGAGGGTCTCATAGCAAAATAACAGAACATCATGAATCAAAAATTCATAATGAATAACTGCAATTTTGGTCGTGTATGGTGAAAATTAACCTTTGTGTTGTAGACTCACTCAACCATCCTCAAATTCAAGAGTCTATGGAAGTTTTCCTGAATTTACACAACCGTGTTTGTGAGCAAAGTTAACTTGATAACTAAAACCATAAACACATACTTCAGTCAACAATGACTCGAGAGAGATTAAACTTTAATATTCAGTTCTTCTCACTTCTTACATTTCACTCACACCTCCCCCTACTCTCAATCCCAGTGAGCGTGCATGCTATGTAGCACTGACACTTCAGATTAAAGGCGTGTCCATACATGTGTTGGTATCGGACACAAATACGACAATGACACATGTGATTCCTACATTGGATTCAGCCAAAAGAAAATGATGTGCATGCATTCATTCACAAAAGGAAAATTCCTACATAGCCTTGTCTGTTCCAGAACCAACCACGCAGCTAAAAGGATAAGGCTGAATCCAGAGATTTTTTTTTTAATAATATCTGAAAAATGGGTTTCAATTTTGAAACATTGCACAAAAACAAAAGTATAATGTTCCATCAAGCACATTAATAAAGGATAATAATAATAAGTAAAAAAAAGTTTAAACCTTGAAAATCAGAAGTGACATTCAATGCAAGCAAGAACAGGTCAGAAGCTTTCAACATCATTCAGGTATAAATAAAAAATGGGCACAGTTTCTGCAAAACTGTGAAAAGATTCATGTGGGGACCAAAAAAAAAATTGAAAATAAAAAAGCAAACTTTGTTTGGATTGAAATGACAGCATAAAAAAATAACTGAAAAATCTAGAGGACATTATGAAGTTGTAGAAAAACACTTACCGTAAGTTGAAAATGCTTTGTTTTTTGTGGTGTTGAGGTAGGAAAATGGAATGGAGTGAAGTAGTGAGAAAGAGAAAGAAGAAAAAGACAGTGAAGAGTAATATAAATAATATTTAATATAAAAAAATAAAAAAAAATAAAAAGAGAGAATATAATAATAACCCTAAACGGAGACTCCGAGGAATCAAAAAGGGAAGTGGGGCATGGTTTAAGGAATGTCTTCTCTTTATGCTAGAACTATTGGACAAGGATACAGTAAACACTGTTCATCTTATAAGAGAGATTTTATTTTCAAATGTGTGTTATTTTTAAATTATATAGTTTTTAAATTAGTTTCACTTTACATTTATTTCGACAACAAACACACTAACTATCATTTATTTTAAAAGTAAATAGTAAAATGTTTAAGTATAAGTATAATATTTTTTTCAAAACTAATTAAATATATTAGAATGTTTAAAAGAGATGTACATGTGAAAAAAAGTTCTTAGAGAATGTTTTTTAAGTGAGACTAATGCGAAAGTAAATATTATATAGGCTGAATGTGTTTTTTTTTCCTCCGACTTTTCTTAACCACGATTTATGATATCGATATATACAATGAAAATTGTGTTCGCCAAATAAAATGTATCTAGTGGAATTTATTCTTTATGAACTCCGTTGAATTATAATATGAAAAAACAATTGTTTTCAGAAAAAAACAACTTCTATCCATTTAAAAGAAAAATAATATTTATACTATAGAGCATTAAAATTAAAGTGTATAAAAATTAGAGGAACCTGATTTATTAAAGAAAAAGAGTTAAGCATGTTCAAAATTGATGATCAAAAGCAACAAAAAAAAGTTTTGACAAAAGTAATTAAAAAAAACAAAGAAATGAAATGCCAAAGAAAAACAAAAATCACTAAAAATAGTTGTGAGTGGAAAAAGAAAATAGAAGGTTTATAAACATGATGTTATTTTATTTTGAAAGACATTTTGAATCTAAGAAAAAATTAATATTTCTTGTAGTAAAAAAAATATAGAGAAAAAAAAAGAACACAATCACAAGACAAGAATATAACGTGAAAATTTTAAAATTAGAGAAAAATCTTGACCGTTGTAGAAAATAACACTATGTAAAAATTACTATCTACATAATATACTCTCAACTAACATAGGTCTCGAGTACACTCACACCTTCCAAAATAAATATTTAACTACATTTCACAACACTCTAATACAACGTATAAGAGAAGAAAGAAAATCAAATACAAGCTTAAAGTATTTTTTACTAGTACATCTTATAACGAAAAACTTGAATTCTATATATAGATGTGGACTCTCCCTTCCTTCACAAAACTAAAGAATATGGAAATTCAAAGAACGTGTATCCTATATATAACTTTGGACATCCTCCTCATTCACAAACTAAGTAATGAGACTTTTTCAACATGTATATTTTCAATCAATCCCAATAATCTTCATCTTGATTGAAAATAATACATAAGCTTTCATTGTCTTCGCCGACAATCATACTCCATCATAAAGAATATAGTCACTTAAAACTACGTCACTCCAAGAATTTTCACAATATCTTCACTGACAATCATAATTTTAAAATTTATCATACTCTTTCATGAAAAATATATTTCACTTGAAGATAAATCACTTCAAATTTTCACATTGTCACCACTGACAATCATATACTTTATCCTGAAGAATAAATTTTACTTGAAGGTAAACTATTCCAAGAATTTCACATGTCAAAAACTAAGTTGAAAATTTATGGTACAACTTCCTTGTTAGCGGGAAGCTCTTCAACCACTAACATAATCTTGCACCTTATATAATTTTGATTGTATCAACACATCTTTTCACAAGTCAAAAACAATTCTACCATAAATTATGTAATTTTTAAATTAGTTTCACTTTACATTTATTTTGACAACAAACACACTAACAATCATTAAATACATCTTTTTATTAGCTTTTACAACCTTAAAAACACTTTTATTACACTTCAACTTAAAAATAAATTATTTTTCAAATAAAAATAATAATTACGTTGTAAGAGAAACTACAAATAATACTTTTATAAAATCACGATGGAAAGTACATAAATGTATGATAACGATAAAAAAACTAAAACAAACATACGTTAAATATGTGTTTGATTTTACATTTGAATCTATAAAATTCCGATGACAATTCTTTTTTACAGTGGAAATACTAGTTGTAGCTTCAACTAAACATTCTTTTTTTTTAATCTCCAAACAAATACAGAGTGTTTCTCAAAAATCAATTCTTGTAGAAACTACAATTTATAATTTTTGAATTTACTAAAAATTAATTTTAAATTTATTATATTTTAATTGTTATAATTCCTTTTTATTTTTCTTCTTTATCCTCTTTAATTTTTATTAATTATTTCTTTTCTTTTTTTATTAGAATTATACACTTAAAATCAATTTTGATAAAAAATTATTCAAAAAAAATATTAATTGATAACGTTTATTTCTATATTATTAATTTTAAATATATATTAATTTTGTTAAATTTAACTAATATTTTTAAAAAATTTATTATATTTTTAATATACTATATCTTTTTCAATGATTTAAAATAAATAAATTCTATAAAATTAATTTTAAAAGTATATAGTAAAATGTTTAAGTATAAGTATAATATCTTTTTCAAAAATAATTAAATATATTAGAATGTTTAAAAGAGATGTGCATGTAAAAAAGTTCCTAGAGAATGTTTTTTAAGTGATACTAATGCGAGAGTAAATATTACATAAGCTGAATATATTTTTTTACCTCCAACTTTTCTTAATCACGATTTACGATATGGATATACAATGAAAATTTTGTTCGCCAAATAATGTGTATTTAGTGGAACTTATTCTTCATGAACCCTGTTGAATTATAATATGAAAAACAATTGTTTTCAGAAAAACAACTTTTATCCATTTAAAAGAAAAATAATGTTTATATTATAGAGCATTAAAATTAAAGTGTATAAAAGTTAGGGAAACCTGATTTATTAAAGAAAAAGAGTTAAGTATGTTCAAAATTGGTGATCAAAAGAAGAAGAAAAAATTGGCAAAAGTAATAAAAAACAAAAAATAAATAAAATAAAATGCAAAGGAAAATAAAAATCACTAAAAATAGTTGTGAGTGGAAAAAGAAAATAGAAGGTTTATAAACATGAATTTATGTTATTTTATTTTGAAAGACACTTTGAATTTAAGGAAAAATTAATATTTCTTGTAGTCAAGCTATATTATTGTTAGGAAAAAAATAAAATATATAGAGAGAAAAACACAATCACAATACAAAAATATAACGTGAAAACTCTAAAATCAGATAAAAATCTAGACCATTGTCAAATGACAACTAGAGAATAACACTATGTAAAAATTATTACACCATATAATATACTCTCAACTAATTCAGGCCTCGAGTACACTCACACCTTTCAAAATAAATATTTAACTACATCTCACAACACTCTAATACAAGCGTATAAGAGAAAAAAGAAAGTCAAATACAAACTTAAAGTGTTTTTGACCGGTAGATCTTATAACGAAGAACTTGAATTCTATATATAGATATGGACTCTCCCTTCCTTCACAAAACTAGGCAATGTGGAAATTCAAAGAACATGTATCCTATATATAACCTTGGACTTCCTCTTCATTCACAAACTAAGCAATGAGACTTTTTCAACATGTATATTTTTAATTAATCCCAACAATCTCCACCTTGATTGAAAATAATACATAAGCTTTCATTGTCTTCACCGACAATCATACTCCACCATAAAGAATATAGTCACTTAAAGCTACGCCACTCCAAGAATTTTCA